TTTTTTTAATTGTCTACATTAGCACCGGTGATGCCACATCAGATTTTCTAGCAAGGTAAATCGCCAATAATACTTAAGTGATCGATTTTTCAAATTTGTGGCACTCAAGTGAGCACTATACAAAAGTTATGATACTTCTAGTGTTCTTATCCCAGAAATGCCTATACATCTTTCCATTGATAGAGTGATTATTTAAATATTTGAGAAAATTATCAATTTAGTCTTAAATTTATTGTACGAATGTTAATTCAGTTTTAAGTTCTAAATTTTGTCAATATAATCCTACACATTTGCACCATATTTAAATGCATTCTTTCCTACTAATTACCTTTGCAACTTGCGACATGTTAAATCAACAAATTGCCAACATCAACATGACAGGAGACATCGTGAAGGATTGCCCGACAAAAAAAAACATGCCACTTAGGACTGCCGGCAATAACTAAATGCCATGTTACGATTTTTTTGTGGCAATTGGCAAGAAAGACTAGATTGAAATATCGCTAAAAAATTTAGGACTACATTGACAAAACTGAAAAGTGAGGCTGATTAGGTGGAATAATTAGTCAGTGACATGAAAATTATGACCATTGTAATAGCATTATAAGAAAATCCAATCAAACCATTGGCAAATACAAATTTTTTGTTAATTCTAATTGTATCAGAATTTCCAAAGAAAAGAAAAGAAAAAAGGTAAGAAATAGTAATTAATATTACTTATGTATTAGTAACATAATAATTTTTTTGATGATAGTTTAATTTCGATATTTGTTGAAAATTAAATTTCAAATATTTTGGATTTTATACAATAGGCCTCATTCATGATAAAAACCTAGTTTTGTATATATGGTACCCACTTCTATTAATATATCTTATAAAGAATTAATTAAAGCAATGCATTTGTTTACGTAGGAACCTTGTAACGTCCTGAATTCGACCCACTTTCGTAATCAATGAAATTGATGTATTTCTCATTTCGTTTTAGCAAGTCTTGTCCGGAACTGATCATTCACGGGATACTGACCAACAGGAATGGCTAACTAGGAAAACGATACGTAGACCCGAGAACTCGACCGTGAATTGAATCCGATTTCGAGATACGACGAGAGAATATTTTGTGCCGATGTGGGCCGGTCCAAGGAGAGTGACGGATTTGGTTCGACTGACGACGTACGACCGGATAGCGGGTGATTCCGCACGACCGAGAGTACGCGCGATGAACGATCCCGAACTTATTCCGGACGACCGCGACCCCTGGGACTAGCGATAAATCCTCGTGTTCTCTGGAAAATCGACATCGTCATAACTCGAGTAACCCTAGGTCGATACGCGTAACCCCTAAACAGCCGCCCGTTAGTGAGAGACGCTAAAATTGCAAATTGAGCGAAATCGATCATGAAATTGAGTCCGGACTTCGGTGTCGGATTTCGTGGACGTACGCGACTATTTTTGCAAGGACAATGTCGTATAAGTGTGGCCAATCATATTTGGGATCAGTAGGGCCGAAAATTGAAAATTTGACCCGGCACCGAAAAATTACCGTTTTGCCCCTATGCCCCTAAGCTTGGATTCCGAATTTTGGGATTATTTGGAGATTATTTTAGGGTTTTATATTAGTTTGTTTCAGCCCGATAATGCTGGAATTGAGGACCATAGTGCCCCTAGATTTTTGTTCTAGATTTATTCTCTACCTTTAGAGTGAAGGCAGGATGGTCAATATTGCAAGGTGGTTCACCAACCCCACTAAGCCCAAACCATATACACTCTAGTCTCTCTCTCTCTCTCCCTCATTTTTCTTCTCCCCCAAGCCGGCAGCCCCCTCCTCCCACGCGTCTCTCCTTCTCCTCCTTGCTCGGCCGAGAACCGCCGCCGTCCGTCCGAGCCCCACTACGGGCCGCCGCCGCTCGCCGTCCGCACCCCTCCTCGCCTCATCACCACCACTCACCCGACTAGCTCTCTCTTTCTAACCCTCCCTCTCCATCCTGTGAGCTCTCTCTCTCTCCCTCTCTCGGCCGTGCGCCACCCGCCGGAGAGCCGCCACCGCCGCGCGCCGGTGCCGCCACCGTCCGCCGCTCGCCTCGCCTCACCACCACCATCCAGCCGTCCCATTCTCTCTCTCTCCCTTTCCCAGCCATGTGATCAACTCCCGCTTAGGACCGCCGCCGTCCGCAAGCCGCCGTCGCTCGCGCCGCCTTGAAGGCCACCCGTCACCGCCGCTTGCCCCGCCACTGCTCAACCGCCCTTGCCACCTGTCCAGCCTTCATTAGGAGCTTAGGAACCTTGATGAGCACAGCCCTAAACCCTAGTTAGGCTAATGTACATTTCTAGATGAGTTTTAGGGATTAATTAGGGTAATTTAGGGGTTAACTTGTGGAGCATGTTAGGGGCTGACTTTGTGGTTAATTTAGTGGCTTAGTGTGATAATTTAATTGAGGTTTAATGGCCTATAGTGTGCTGTGTGGTGGCTGAGCATAGGCGCCTTGATTCGGGCAAAAATGTGAATTTGGCAAGTGTAATTTGTAGGTCGAGTAGTGGCTGTTTTCGTGGTGAAGTTGGAGAGCCTAATGTGATGATTTGGAAGTGATTTAATGGCCTAGGGTGGACTGTTCATGGCTGATTTGGTATCGGGTTGATTCCGGCCATAATTGGTTAAACGAGGTTTTAGGGTGAATTGCTTAGGGAACGGAGATTGGCCCGTGAGGATGCTAAATTAATCATGGCTTGAGTGTGACTGTGTAATGCTCTGTGATGTGCTTGGCGTGGCCAATTTATGAGATGCTTGGTAGGCTATCGGCATGTGTAGTTTTGGTGTTTAATTTCGTGAATTTGGGTGCTAAGCTATATGTTGTGACTGATTTGGATTGGTTGGTTCATTGGGCATATTGAGATGCGAATTGAGTATGTAGCCAAATCATGTTGAGTGCTCAGTATGAAATTTACGAATGCCGAGTGTGATATTGTGGCTATGAGTGTGCATCTCGAGCATTGGCATAACATGTGCATATGCGAGTGTGCACGAATGACATGAGCATGTGATCACCTAAAATGCCCTGATGCGTTTTACGCGGGATTCAGATAATAACTGGTGTATGTGTACGTGTGATCACATAAAGCCCTGATGCGTTTTACGTGGGGTATTGAACCCGTCCTGAGGCGTGTTACGCGGGACGATGCCTGGACTACCGGAAGATGACTAACCTGATGCGTTTTACGCGAGTTTTGTGTCATGAGCCTGATGCGTTTTACGCGTGCCAGAGATCGATCTCGAAGTGATCGACCTGATGCTTTTTACGCGGGTCGGACCTGATGCGTTTTACGCGGGTCGGAGGAGAATTGGTAAATTGCAAGTGTGCAAGAGTGCAAGTGTGCGAAAGTGCATGGATGTGGCATGAGCATGAGTGTGAGCATATGCATAACATGCGTTGTGACCGAGTGATGTTATGTATGTGCCGCGAATGGGTTCTGTGTTATTGTTGTGAATTATAAAGTGCCTAACCTGCAGGGCCAAGTAAGTATTGGATTTGGAGCCTGAGGGCCTAAGTCGTTTATATTCTAGATTGTGTGTTGTTTGGTGCTCGTCAGGAGGTGCATGTTAGCCTAGTTTAGGTTTAGGGGGCCTACTCACTGAGATTATTCTCACTGTTGTATAATCCCAATTTTTCAGACCCCCGGCCTTGAGATGTCCGCAGTACCTATTCGTTTTGGGATCCCTTACCGGATAGACCGGGAGGAGACGGTGTACCCCGTAGGAAACGGGGATTTTTATGTTAGATACTTGACTACAGTTTGGGTCGATGCGGGCAAGCAGCTGGACCAGGCCCACATGTACATATGGTGGTGTATCAGGGACCTTACAGGGACTTACGGGCCCCTTCGATCTTTTGAGGTCCCGTTTAGCGAGTTAGGGGATGTTAACCCTCACTGTCTCAATGGGGACTTGGTGAGCCCTGACCATGCGTCCGAGGAGAGCTCTAGTGCTGACTTAGGGCACGGGCCGGATGTTTGGGAGATGGACGAACCAGAGCAGATAGAGGAGGAGCCAGAGGATGGGGACCCAGACCCAGAGCCGATGGATTCGGAGGATGAGCCAGAGCTGATGGAGCTAGACCTCGAGCTGGAGGCAGTGCACGAGGAGGACGGTTCAGACGAAGAGTCATCCGGGATCGATACCCAGTTGGAGTCCATGGAGTCCGAGCCGGAGTCATCCGAGAGTTCTTCCGACTCGTCGAGTTCTGACCCAGACTGGGAGCGCTAGAGTAGATATTAAACCCTAGTTAGGTTGGGCTAGTACCTTTTTGACTGGAGCCCCACCTAGTTCTAGTACCCCTGACCGCCTGGCCATTTACCCCTTTTTGTCAGTAGTGGCCATTAACCCGCTTTTGATTTTTTTTAGGTTCGTGCTATTTATGAATAGTGTATATGTTTGTCCTGTTAATGCAAGTATGTATTTGTAATCTCGTTGATTATTCTACCCTTGGTCTCGTGTTTGTGTTGTACGGGTGTTTACGTTGCTTCCGCGTGTTCTTTACTCTCTGTGTTGGGTGTTGGTTCGGCGACGCGTCCTAAGACGTCACGCTTGAATCGACCTCGGTTATGTTGTCGCACGCCATAGGGTTCGGGGCGTGACATTCCCCGTTGATTTGGCATCAGAGCAAGGTTAGCTCGATCCGATTAGGTCGAAGCCTGGAGTAATAAGGAGCGATGACCTTGGGTAGCCAGTAGGGAGACCTTGTATTATACGTGTACCTCTTGACTGTCTGTGGTTTGATGGAGTGATTGTTGTAATTGACCTGTAAAGTGCAGGTGCGACAAAACCCGAGGTAAGTACGCGAATCTCCTTGGTTGAGATGTTGTGCTGTTTGGGTAAGGCCGCGTGCTAGTTGCTTGACTGCTATTGTGTTGAGTTCCCTGCCTAGGACCTTAGACTTGATTAGCTTGGTTTAGGTCTCTAATTCCTGTGTGGGAATTATAACAGGTTAGTGAGCGTGCGAGTTGGGAAGATGAGTAGCCAAGGAAGAGGTAGAGGTCGAGGCCGCGGTAGAGGTTGAGGTTGAGGTCGTGAGCATGACCGTGTAGAACCGCAAGTAAGGGTTGCCGAGGATCCAAGAGTAGATGGGATTTTAAGGGCTCTCGAGGAAGCTGAAATTCTAGGAGGTAGGCTAGCCCAAGAAAGAGATGCCATTATTGCCGCTGCTGTTGAGGCTACCGTTGCTATTGCCAATGGGGCCAATGGGAACAACGGAAATAATGGGAATCAGGAAAATCAGGAGAATCTAGTTCCAGGACCGGCAGATGTGATCAGGCCGATGTCTAAATTGGTAGAGCAGTTCTTGAAATTGAAACCGCCAAAGTTCAACGGGAAAGGTGACCCCGAAGCTGCACCACGTTGGGTGGAGGATTTGGAGAAAGCTTTCGATATGCTGGGGTGCACCGATACTGAAATGGTGACTTTAGCGGAGTATCGGCTGCAGGAGAACGCAAATGACTGGTGGAAGGCCACCAAGAATAGAGTGTTTCCGGAAGGTACCGCCCAGACTTGGGTCGCATTTACTGAGAATTTCTACGGAAAGTATTTCTCCGAGAGTGCCATGGAGAGAAAGTTAGCGAAGTTCATGAGACTTCGCCAAGGATCGATGACGGTAGGTCAATACGAGGCAGAATTTGTGAGGCTATCAAGCTTCGCACCCAGGATGGTTAAGGACCCACAGGATAAGGTTAGGAGATTCCAGGATGGGCTGAAACCGGATCTGCGAAGTCAGATGATATCACTGAACATCAAGGACTACAGTGAGATGTATGAGCGGGCGCAGGCTATTGAGCGGGATCAAGTGGATAAGGCAGCCGCTTCTAGGTCGCGGTTCGCCCAGAGCAGGGACAACCGCCGTCTCGGGAAGAAGCCGATGGCGGGAAATCGGCGATTTGTCCCACCGATAAGGAAGAATATCGGAAAGCCTAACCATCAGCAGAACAGGTTTGGGGCCTGCTTCAAATGCGAGAGTATGGACCATCAGATCAGAAATTGCCCCTAGCAACGCCTCGCAGGACCCCCGATGCAACTACAACAACCCCGAGTAGGGAATCAGACTGGGAATCCACCGCCGGCTAATTTGAACAGGCCATCGGCACAAGGGCGGGTGTACGCCATGGCGCGGAGGGAAGTAGAGAATGTGCCAGGCGTGGTCACAAGTACGGTTTCTCTGTGCAATCATGTCGCATATGCTTTGTTTGATCCGGGGGCGTCGCACTCCTTTGTGTCTGCTCGGTTTGTTGAATTGGCTGGATTAAAACCTGTCTTGTTAGAAGTGCGGTTGTGTGTGACTATGCCATTAATGGATAAGATATGCATATCGTTAGGATGCCCAGACTGTGAGATAGTAGTTGGTGGCATAGAAAGCAAGATAGATCTATCTGTTTTGCCCATGTATGATTTTGATTTGATTGTAGGCATGGATTGGTTAGTCAAGCAAAATGCCATAATGGATTGCAGTAGTAGGGTGATCCAGTTTAGCTCGGCTGGACACCCTAGATTCGAGTTTGTAAGGAGTCGAGGAGGAACCTCGATCCCTTGGGTTTCATCAGTAGAAGCAACTAAGTTGTTGGATGAGGGCTATCAAGGTTGTTTAGCCAGTGTGGTTGATTCGACGGCAGGAGAAGTGCGGCTTGAGGATATAGCAGTGGTGTGCAACTTTTCCGATGTCTTTCCTCAGGAATTGCCGGGATTGCCACTAGAAAAGAAAAGTAGAGTTCGTTATCAAGTTGGCCCCTGGGACTGAGCCGATCTCGAAGCCGCCCTATAGGATGTCGTTGTCAGAGTTGAAAGAATTAAAGGTGCAGATGCAGGAACTACTAGACAAAGGTTTTATCCGACCGAGTGCGTCTCCATGGGGAGTGCCAGTATTATTCATTAGGAAGAAGGATGGGTCATTGAGGCTGTGTATCGACTACCGTCAGCTGAATCAAGTGACAATCAAGAATATGTATCCCCTCCCAAGGATTGATGACCTGTTCGATCAGTTACAAGGAGCCTCGGTATTTTCTGAGATTGACCTGAAGACAGGGTATCGTCACTTAAGAATCCAAAAGGAGGATATCCCAAAGACGGCATTCAGGACGAGGTATGGACACTATGAGTTCACGGTGATGCCGTTTGGGCTAACTAATGCCCCTGCTGCTTTTATGGACTTAATGAACCGGGTATTCAAGGAATTCTTAGACCAGTTTGTCATTGTCTTCATTGATGACATTCTAGTGTATTCAAAGAGTCCCGAGGAACATGAGGCACACTTGGAAAAGGTTCTAAGGACGCTGAGAGAGCATGCACTGTATGCTAAGTTTAGCAAGTGCGAATTTTGGCTGAACCGGGTAGCGTTTCTTGGACATATAATTTCCGGAGAAGGAATCTTCGTGGATCCGGCAAAGATTGAAGCAGTGATGGATTGGCCGAGACCGACGACAGTTACTGAGGTTCGGAGCTTCCTAGGACTGGCAGGTTATTATCGACGATTTATGGAAGGATTCTCAGCGATAGCCACCCCATTGACAAGGTTGCTTAAGAAGGAAACGAAGTTTGAATGGACGGAAAAGTGCGAAGAGAGTTTTCAGAAATTGAAGCAGAGATTGGCGACCGCGCCAGTGCTAACAATTCCTTCAGGACCGGGAGGATATGGGATTTATAGCAATGCTTCGCTCAAGGGATTGGGATGCGTGCTAATGCAACATGGAAGAGTGGTTGCTTATGCATCGCGACAGTTAAGGCCTCATGAGATGAACTACCTGACCCACGACTTGGAACTGGCAGCAATCATTTTCGCGCTCAAGATTTGGAGGCACTACTTATGTGGAGAAAGGTTCCAGATCTACGCGGACCATCAGAGCCTCAAGTATTTGTTTTCGCAAAAGGAATTGACTATGAGGCAGAGGCGTTGGATGGAGCTGTTGAAGGACTATGGTTGTGACATACTGTATCATCCCAGGAAGGCCAACTGTGTAGCGGATGCTTTAAGCAGGAAATCGAGCATCGCGCAGTTGATAGTTAAAGAGTGGATTTTGTTGGAAGGAGCGCGAGATTCAGAATTTAAGTTCGAGGTAGGACACCTCTCCAGTACGATGGCGACATTAAGAATTGAACCGGAAGTACAAAGCAAGATTAAGGTGTTGCAATCTACGGACCCTGAGATTCAGAAGATCTTGGAGATGGATGGCGCTAAGAGGAAACCGGACTTCCAAGTGTCCGAAGATGGGATTCTTAAGTTTCGAGGACATTTGTGCGATGATTTGGAGCTTAAGGAAGGGATTTTGTCGGAGGCTCATAGGAGCAATTATAGCATTCACCCCGGCAGCACGAAGATGTATCAGAACCTTCGACAGCACTATTGGTGGAATGGAATGAAGGTGGACGTGGCCAAGCATGTGGCCAAGTGTCTGACGTGCCAACAAGTGAAGGTACAGCATTGTAAATTTGGTGGAATGTTGCAGCCGTTGAAAATCCCCGAATGGAAATGGGAGCATATTACAATGGACTTTGTGACGGGATTGCCAAGAAGCCAGAGGGGACACGACTCTATTTGGGTGATAGTGGACAGACTGACCAAGTCAACGCACTTCCTGGCTGTGCGAAAGGACTTCGAGCTAGAAAGGTACGCAGAGTTGTATGTGCGGCAGATAGTCCGTCTTCATGGAGTACCGGTATCAATCACTTCGGACCGTGATCCTCAGTTTACTGCGAATTTTTGGAAAAGTCTGCAATCAGCCATGGGAACCAAGTTGCAATTCAGTACGGCCTATCACCCACAGACAGATGGCCAATCTGAGAGGACTATTCAGATGTTAGAGGATATGCTGAGAGCGTGTGTATTAGATTTTCAGGGCAAGTGGGAAGAGCAGTTACATTTGGTGGAATTTGCCTATAATAGCAGCTTTCAGCAGAGTATTGGGATGGCACCGTTTGAAGCACTTTATGACAGAGCGTGCAGAACACCGTTATGTTGAGACGAAGTGGGGGAAAGAAGTATAACGGGTCCAGAGTTGGTTCAGCAGTCGGTGGAAATAGTAAAGATTATCCGGAAAGGCTAAGAACAGCTCAGAGCCATCAGAAAAGTTACGCGGACCAAAGGCGTAGATCGTTGGAGTTCCAGGTTGGTGACCATGTCTTCCTTAAGATCTCGCCGAAGAGAGGACTGTCTCGGTTTGGCAAGAAAGGGAAGCTGAGTCCAAGGTATATAGGCCCGTTCAAGATTTTGGAAAGGATTGGAACGTTGGCCTATCGTCTCGCCTTGCCGCCAAATTTGTCGTAAGTTCATAACGTCTTCCACGTGTCAATGTTGAGGAAATATGAACCGGATCTGACCCACATGCTGAATCATGAGGTAATAGATGTGGACGACAGGGTATCGTACGTGGAGAGGCCAGTTCGAATCGAGGACAGGAAAGAGCAGGTTTTGAGGAGCAAGACGATCCCGTTGGTCAAAGTTGTCTGGGAACATCACGGGACTGAAGGCGCCACCTGGGAAAGTGAGGAAGTAATGCGACATCAGCACCCCCACTTATTTGGGTAATCGGGTTAGATTGTAAATTTCGAGGATGAAATTTTTGTAAGGGGGGAAGAGTTGTAACGTCCTGAAGTCGACCCACTTTCGTAATCAATGAAATTGATGTATTTCTCATTTCGTTTTAGCAAGTCTCACCCGGAACTGATCATTCACGGGATACTGACCAATAGGGAATGGCTAACTAGGAAAACGATACGTGGACCCGAGAACTCGACCGTGAATTGAGTTCGATTCCGAGATATGACGAGAGAATATTTTGTACCGATGTGGGCCGGTCCAAGGACTGTGACGGATTTGGTTCGACCGACGACGTACGATCGGATAGCGAGTGATTCCGCACGATCGAGAGTATGCGCGGCGAACGATATGAACTTATTCCGGACGACCGCGACCCCTGGGACTAGCGATAAACCCTCGTGTTCTCTGGGAAATCGACATCATCACAACTCGAGTAACTTTAGGTCGATACGCATAACCCCTAAACAGCCGCCCGTTAGTGAGAGACGCTAAAACTGCAAATTGAGTGAAATCGATCGTGGAATTGAGTCCGGACTTTGGTGTCGGATTTCGTGGACGTACGCGACTATTTTTGCAAGGACAACGTCGTATAAGTGTGGCCAATCATATTTGGGATCAGTAGAGCCGAAAATTGAAAATTTGACCCGGCACCGAAAAATTACCGTTTTGCCCCTATGCCCCTAAGCTTAGATTCCGAATTTTGGGATTATTTGGAGATTATTTTAGGGTTTTATATTAGCTTGTTTCAGCCCAATAATGCTGGAATTGAGGACCATAGTGCCCCTAGATTTTTGTTCTAGATTTAATCTCTACCCTTAGAGTGAGGGCAAGATGGTCAATATTGCAAGGTGGTTCACCAATCCCACTAACCCCAAACCATATACACTCTAGTCTCTCACTCTCTCTCTCATTTTTCTTCTCCCCCAAGCCGGCAGCCCCCTCCTCCCACGCCTCTCTCCTTCTCCTCCTTGCTCGGCCAAGAACCGCCGCCGTCCGTCCAAGCGCCACTGCGGGCCGCCACCGCTCGCCATCCGCGCCCCACCTCGCCTCATCACCACCACTCACCCGACCAGCTCTCTCTTTCTCCCCCTCCCTCTCCATACCGTGAGCTCTCTCTCTCTCTCCCTCTCTCGGCCGTGCGCCGCCCGCCGGAGAGCCGCCACCGCAGCGCGCGCCGGCGCCGCCACCGTCCGCCTCTCGCCTCGCCTCGCTTCACCACCACCATCCAGCCGTCCCATTCTCTCTCTCTCCCTTTCACAGCCGTGTGATCAACCCCCGCCTAGGACTGCCGCCATCCACAAGACGCCGCCGCTCGCGCCGCCTTGAAGGCCGCCCGTCACCGCCGCTTGCCCCGCCACTGCTCAGCCGCCCTTGCCACCTGTCCAGCCTTCATTAGGAGCTTAGGAACCTTGGTGAGTACAACCCTAAACCCTAGTTAGGCTAATGTACATTTCTAGATGAGT